CATGGAGTTGGATCCAACTCATAGCAACCCCTCCTTGGGTTTCTGAGGAGGTATCACTACAGAAGTAGATTGCCCAACCTTCCTTCTGAGGAGTGGCTTTTGGGTTTCAACTGCCAGCCTTCTGGTTAACAGTCAAATGCCTTAGGCACTATGCCACCAGATTTCCTAGGTATGTATATATTCACATATAGGTTATGGAGCATTGAAGCTATTAAAACTATATCTCTGTTTTTTTAATTTATTTTTAATTTTATTGTGATTTGGGTGAAAGTTTATAGAGAAAATTCCTCTTCGATACAGCAGCTCACATACACTTTGTCTCATAACACTAACTGTAATCTCCCACAATGCAACAGCTCTCCTCCTACTTTATAACTATCTTTGAAGATACGAGTTAGGGAAACTCTCACAATGACAATATAGGATCAAAAAAGTTTATCAAATTGTACAGTCTACATTTTAAAGTATCTGTGTTCATGCATGCTTGCATGTGTAATACAAAAAAAATATTTTAAAATAAAACACCAAAATATTAACTATGGTTATCTTTATGTTCTCGGAATATGCATGATCACTTAGTTTCTTTTGTATCACATTCTATTTGCTTTTCAGTGATTTCAAATTTTGTACAATAAACTGAAAAATTAAAAATTATTTTAAAAGATAAATAATAACTATGCACCACAGTTGAAATAATAGGAGCCACAGAACCTAGAAAATGCTAATGAAGGGCTATTGAAGGGCATAGGGTTGGACACTTGCCCTGTATGACTCAAGTGGCAGAATGTGAACCCACAATAATTAGAAGAAGAAGGATTTTGCCTTAATATAAGGAAAAGAACAGTAAAAGAATTTCAAAAAATGGAAACAGGTTGCCATGAAAGGTTTTTTCTTTTTTCTGCCACTGGAAGTGTTCAAGAAGATGCTTGATGATTTTTCAGTAATCTTCTTACTGTGATGTAACATTTGTACAGGTTGTTATACCCAGAATTTTTTCCCTCCAGAGACTCTAAAATTTGCATGCTACTAATCAATGGTATCTAAATATTTTCTCACCATCAGAGATTTATTTCTCTGGGACAGGTTTTAAGAAAATTTTATTGGCATTTTCTTTTAGAAGTCTTCTTGTTAGGGCAAAGTAGAATGCCTTACTAAGTTCAAAGCTAGTCCTTTTTGGGGGCAAGGTACATGTCTTGTCAGCATCCCATCTTTGAGGGCTAGAAAAGTTTAATATTTATAGTATATATAAAACAATTCCTTCTTTTTTTTTAATTTAATTAACTCATTGTACTAGACCCAGTTAATACACTACACCAGATCCATGCACCCTACCTGTCCACAGGTTGCCAAATGCCCTTCTTTCAAGTTGGATGAGTCTCATTCCTAGCACTCACTAAATGTCTGTTCCCTTCAGTAGATGTCTGGGGAGTTAGGGAACAAAGCAAAAAATACAATGGATTTAATGATTTTAGGGTAGACTTGGACCAAGAGATATAGGAGATCAGAAGGATCTGGCAGGTGAATTGCTTGCTCCTCCCCACCCCTTCCTCCTCATATTGTCCCTTGATGTTGTGGTCCTATTAGGCTTCTTCTAAAGCATCTCACATAACCAGCAAGCCACAATGTTTTCTTAACAAACTGTGGATACCTTGTGCCTGCTTTCCTGACTTTTCTCCCTCACTTCTCTTTTCCTTTCACTCTTGCTTCTCTGGGAATATTTGCACCAATAAAGTAACTAGCACATGAGATTTGCTATAGGGACTATTTCCCCAAGGTACTTCATTAATACAGCGACTGAAATTTTATTTTAAACTTGTTGATCAGAGGATATCAAATTCAACATGAATTCTACCAATCTGTGGCCCTTAGGATACAAAGAGAGTCCTGAAATGAGCAGTAACATGAAAATCTTAGGGCTCAAAACATAGTCTGATGACAATGATCTGCTGAAGATATGCTATGATGGCAGATGGGGATAAGAGAATGACCAGTAAAAGCCAACTCTGCCCACATCTAAAGCTTGCCTAGGGAAAGCTTTGGTAGTAAACTTGCTCTTTGCCTTAGCCTTCCGCAAGTCCCATTAAGCAATCCACTTGAGATGATGCAATCCATTTCCCAGAGCTCTTTCTCACAGAGCTTAATTCCCATTATGCTCAACTTTGTGCCCCTTACTCACCAACATTCAGTTCCCCGCCTGCAATGACGATGCATGCCACGCTCAGAACATTGCTTGTGTCCACAGGGAATTCTAAAGTCCCCATCACATAGAGGCTTCTGAGGAGTGGAAGATCTGTATCTACAAGGATAGTCCTGTCTGCAAAAGTAAAAGAAATTCCTCAGATGTAAAACCAAAATAAGAACCACCTTCTCATCCTACTGATTAATTCTGAGGTTTTTCCACACAATTCATGAGATACTTTAGTTGCTATCTATGCCAGGACAGGTATAGCAACTAGAAGAACAAAGTCTGCCCATGCTAAGTCTTAGCATGTCAAATATTATAGGTAAAAGGTATTGCTTATGCCCCAAACGAATGTTTCAAACTTACTTCAGTGCAAACGCACAGATGAGCTCCCTCATCTTTGTTCTTGTCCCTTTATTTTGTCCCTAATTTCAGAAAGGCAGTTTCAATAGATAGGACCCTGGCCTCTGAAGTCACACTATTTAGATGTGAACTCCAGCTCTGTCACTTACGAGCTGTATGAAACAACAATACTTTTCTGTGCCTCAGTTACCTCATTTGTGAAATGATGATACCAATGAAAATACCTACTTACTCATAGAATTTTCTGTGGGGGTTAGATGAGTTAAGGCATCTAAAGTACTTAAACAATGTCAGCAAAAATTTTCCTAATTCCCTACTTTCCACTTCATAAGGCAGTGTGCCTAGTAAGTATTCAATAAATATTGCTTAGCATAATTATAGTTAGTATAATTGCTCTATTGTCCATTAGCTTGGCATGCTTACAGAGCTGATCAAGCAACCAAAAACCACTATTCTTCATCTACTCCTTCATAAAAGCAATTTCCAAATAACGTCAGAAGATACAATCATGAATTTTGACTGAAAGTAACAATAGAGTAATATATGACTAACTCGTTGACTCTATGGCACATAACAACAACAAAGTCTTCATTTAAAATACATTAAATATTTCATATATGTCAAAGTATTAATGTTATTTTCTGAAACTTAGTAGTAATTCAACATGAATTAAAGTATCAAATAAATGTTTCTGCATAGAAATAAAGTACTATAATCCATAATCAATAGCAAGAGAAAAAAAATTGGAGGCTTTTTTTAAAATATACATATACATGCAAAAATTTTTAAGGAATTCTTCTTAAAATGTAATTCCATTTTTCATTCCAGGAAACAATGCAGGTTTTAAGGACCTGCTCAAGCAAATTAACTTTTCATGAGTTATCCTTTATAGCCTCCACCTACTTCCCTAGCTACAAAACCATTCATACTTTCCTGTGGAGAAGACTGTGTGGTTAAACCAAACAACTTCCCTTTTCCTCTTGTGTTCAAAGTTAGACTACATCTCCCATGTGACTCATGTGACTGAGCTGTAGCCAGCAAAAACATAGGCAGAACTGAAATACAACATCTTCAGTTGGCCTGGTCCATATACTCTCCTGCATATTCTTTCTTGCTCCCCTTGTCTATCGTGAGTTGGAAGTAGAACAGTGGTTCTCAAAGTGTGTCATGGTCCAGCAGTATCAGCATTACCCTCTCATCCATCACTGCCCAGTGCCTCCATTGGCCCCATCACTTCCTCTTGGGAAACAGCTCAAATGACATGTTACACACACTTATAGCACTACAACACACTGTCATACTTATGTTTTTCTCTCCCACTGTTACTTCCTTAAGAGATCCTTCATGTCTTTTAAATCTTCAGTGCCTACTGTAATGTCAAAGACGAAAATGTTAAATGTTGCCTAGATTTGTTGAGTTTAATCTCCCACATATCTTAAATTCAAGCATCCATAAGTGACTGACACAAAGTGAATAATTTAAAGAGATATAAATAAATATGTTTGTTTTAATCTCATTTGTGGCATTTTTCACAACATTAAAACAAGAGTCTGAAATATCTAGGGAATGTTCTAGGTTTAGCATATATATGAGCTTTTGATTTTAAGATGATCTCAAAAGCAGCATAAAAATTATTTTAAAGCAAACATCACTAAAAATAAAAGTTCTATACAAGTGGCCTTTATCTAGTCCAACTAAACCAAATGTCTGGTTGTGGAGGCTCAACATACAAAACAAAACAATTACATTAATTCAATAAATGCTATCTCCATCCACAGTTGTTGTTGTTAGGTGCTGTTGACTCAACTCCAACTCATAGTACCCTATGTACAACAGAATAAAACATGGCCCGATTGTATACCATCCATACAATCCTTGCAATACTTGAGCCCACTATTGTAGCCACTGTGTTGAGAGTCTTCCCCTTTTTCACTGACTCTCTCCTTTACCAAGCATGGTATCTTTCTGCAGGGAATGATCCCTTCTAAAAACATGACCAAAGTACTAGCTAACTAACTCACTGCCGTCGAGTCATTCCCAACTCATAGCGACCCCTCCTTGGGTTTCCAAGGTGGTATTCCTACAGAAGTAGATTCCCCAGTCTTCCTTTTGAGGACTGCCAGGTGGGTTTGAACCACCAGCCTTCTGGTTAAGTGAGAAGAAGTCTGGCTGTTTTTGTTCCCAAGGAGCATTCCAGCTGCACTTCTTCCAGGACATATTTGTTTGTTCTTCTGCCAGTCCATTGTATTTTCAATATTTTTCACCAACACAATTTAAAGGCATCAATTCTTCTTTGGTCTTCCTTTTTCATTGTCCAGCTTTTACATACATACGAGGTGATGGAAAATATCAGGGTTTAGGTTAGGCACACTTTAGTCTTCAATGTAACATCTTTCCTTCTTAACACTTTGAAGAGGTCTTTTGCAGCAGATTTGCCTAGTGCAATATGATGTCTGATTTCTTGACTGCTGCTTCCATGGATATTGTTTGTGGAACCCAGTGAAATGAAATCCCTGACAAATTCAAACTTTTCTCCATTTACTGTGATGTTGCTTATTGGTCTATTTGTGAACATTTTTGTTTTATGTTGAGGTATAATCCATACTGAAAACTGTAGTCTTTGAACTTTAACAGTAAGTGCTTCAAGTTATCTTCACTTTTAGCAAGGCAGGTTGTATTATCTATGTATGGCAGGTTATTAATGAGTCTTCCTGCAATCCTGATGCCACATTCTTCTTCATATAGTCCAGGTTCTCAGATTATTTGCTCACCATACAGATTGAATAAGTATAGTGAAAGGATACAACCCTGACACACACTCTTCCTGATTTTAAACCCATCCACAGTACTCATTAGTGGAGTCTGGACATCTTCACCTGTGGCCATCACTGGAAGATGTCTCAGGAGAGGCCCATGTTCTACTGGCAGGAGCTGAACAAGACAGTCTGGGAGGTGCCTGAATGCTATCAGAACCTGTCCCCGGTGGGCTCCAGTGCTTATGGCTCTGTGTGATGGGGTCCAGCCTGATATAACAAGAAGGCGTGGGTGAGTAGCTCCACCGTCTCGTCAGGCAATTGTGAATTCTCAACTTCCATGAGTGAGCCCACATGGAGAGAGAAACCTCCCAAGAGCCAGCACCTGGAATTCAGACTTCTAGCCTACAGAATATATGCGAGTAGCCCCAAGGACACTCCAGACCTGGAAGACTGAAAAGGTGCAACATTCCCCTTGTTACTCTTATACCCCACACCCACTTGGTGAAGGAGGTTCAGCCATCCCCTACTCCCATCCACCTTCTGGGCCTGCAGGAACTCCATCTCACTCTGTGTGCTTGGATGGAGCCTGGGTGCCCTGCCCTGCCCTCCCCCAATTTTTTTTTCCTCTTTCTTTTTTCTGGTTTTTAGTTTGCTTGCTTTTGTCTGTTTTAAAACTACTACTATTATTAATACTTTTGAACTTTTTACTATTATTCCCCTCCCAGGTCCTAGTTTTCAGCTTTTTCTTTTCCCTGTTCCTGGTTGCAAATTTTTTTCTTCTTTTTTCTCATGGTTAACCCCGTTCCTTGTTTTCTCCTTGCATTTTTCCCATTTTTTTCCTCATTATTATCCTTCTCTGCCTTTTTCTCTTACTTCCTATCCCCAGGTATTGCAGGTTTTCTTGTTTTGTTTTGTTTTGTTTTTTCCACTGACCTTCTTGTTTGTCCACAGGGCGCAGCCATATTGAATGTTTACAAGTGGTGGCCATGTTGGATATTTAAAATGACTGAGGGCACATTTTTAATGTTTACAAGTGGCAACCATTTTGGATTTTAAAGTGATAGCATTCTCATTCAGATTCCAGGGACATAAGAACAGCCAGTGAGGCAGGAAGCAGGAAGAGGACAGAAAAGGCAAAGGGGATGAGAAGAGATCGAGGAGTCAGCCGCAGGGACCCAGGTGAAGACAGGGAACCCAGGCTACACTCCACAAGGAGTGAGGCAGGAAGGCAGGGAGAGAACAGAAAAGGCAAAGGGGATAGGAACAGATCGAGGAGTCAACCGCAGGGAGCCAGGTGAGGAGAGGGAACCCAGGCCACCCCCGACAAGCAGCAAGGCAGGAATCAGGGAGAGGACAGAAAAGGCAAAGGGGACTGGAACAGATTGAAGAGTCAGCTGCAGGGATCCAGGTAAGGGTGGTTGGAGGGGTTTCCAACAGCTAAGGAACACAAACTTGTCTGTTGGTTTATCCTGCTGTGGTGACGTGTTGCTGTGAGTTTTGAGGCTGTGCCACTGGTGTTTCAAACCCAATGGAGTACACCTCTTACACAGGCATCAGCCCGGCTTGCAGAATGAGACAGAGTAGGAAGAAGGAGGAGGCCATCCACTTCTCAAAGAATTGGCCAGGGAAAACCTTATGAATAGCAGAGAAACACTGTCTGATACATTACTGCACAAACATATGAATAGTCCAGAAACACTGTTCAATACAGAGGAGGAAGATGAGTCACCTAGCTTAGAAAGCTCTCAAAGTAG